CCTATTTCTTTTTGCTTTACTATTCATTTCTTGATTCTTAACATTAATTGTACAATAATCTTTTCTTGTCACCTCAATAACATGCTAATTATTATGTTATACTGAAACACAGGCATCGTTACCACTTGTGACAATGAAGTTGAAATTTGTTCCTCGGATAATATTACTCCTTGCAAGAGAACTGCGTTGGAATCTGATGTCGAGCACTCAGTTTCAGTAGACTTGATCTCTCCACAAAAGTCTAGCAACAAAAAGCAAAAACAAACCAAAATTGAAATGGAGAATTAGAATATTCTACAGAGAGTTCAAGCCCCTATTTGAAAAATCTCAATCTGATTTATGGTGTCTTTAATTTGTATTTAGTATTCTGGTCTAAAATCTTATTTAGTAAACTTTTGTATGCACTACATATTTTTTGGTGGTTTTGCGTTGAGAAACCTAACTACTTGATATGATTATGATAGATATTTTGTTTATCACTATATTGATCATTATTGTTTTGATTCATAAATATATATACTTGACAAGTATCTTTATGTGCTTAAGTTGTATCATTTCTGACTACTTATCTATTATTACTATTTTATTTTGCATTCTTTAGCTACATTAATTTTTATATATTAGACAAATCCGTGCATCGCACGGGCTTGAAACTAGTATATCTAAATAACGAAGCGCATTGCTCTTATGTACACTTCAAAAAAAATTGGTTAACAGCAATATGTAGCTTCCAAAGTCTTTCACCGATAGAAGTATATCAGAGGCTCACCCATTCTTGGATATGAACGATGGAGGCCCGGTTCAGGTGTAATTTGCGGCCTAAAGTCAGTACCCCGGCTAAAAAGGTAGGAAACTTCACTAAGTAATATTGCCATAATGAAATAACTACACACTGAATTCAACATTTTAAAGTTCTGACAATTACAATTTATTGGAATGATGTATGATTTGATGTTCTTCTGATGAAGAATCTGTAAACCTAATTCTTAATTTAAGCAAATCAAACTAAACTTAATTTTGATTTGATCATCCTAATACCAAGATCTAGAACAATATGATTTTCATGAAGAATTATTTAATTACGAGAGCGTACCTTGATCCATGATTACAGGAAGAACAACGTTGAAGACCTGAGTTTTCTCTCTCTTAGCCCTCTTAAAATTTTCCGAATTCTTTTCTTGATGGAGAGAAAAAAAATTTCACGTTATGGGTAAGAGAGGACCAAGCCTTAAATAGAACAATTATCCCATGTTCTATCAACATGAACGTTTTTTGACAATCTTATCTCCAACTAAAATGACCAATAGGAATTTAGTTCTTAATATTATTAAACCGTGATTATCTTTTAACTAAACAAAACGTGGTTTAAAAACTGTTACCACTAAAAATATGATTTTGGAAAAACGTGTCTACAAGAGTAACTTAAAAAAGTGATTAAAGTTAAAACGTGGATACGTGGGCCACAAAATCTAACATTCTCCCACTTGGCCCATGTATCATAATTTGACTTTATGTGTTAATTACAATATTATATGCATAGTATAAGCTAATTACATCATTATATTGATCAAGTCATCAATCATTATTAAGTAGAAAACTAATAAGGATCATGGCGGTCATATGCAGTTAAATCGATATAGTCACTTCCATGTATCACAATATTAGTTTTAAACTTAACATGACGTGTAATGAGATTTATCATAATGGTCCAACGATAATGTCATTGTCAGAGACATACCCTGTTAATATTCACAAAGTTATTCATGTATATACTAACAATAATAAACATGATTCATTAATATATCAGAAACAATATTTAGATGAGCTCAAAGTGTCAAATATAAAGAGCATGAACTTTACATAAAAGTTAGTAATGGTTTTCAATAATGGCCATTCTTTCAACATGTTCAGTAAATGTCTTTGGTGGCAATCCTTTGGTTAACGGATTCGCAACCATGAGAGTTGTGCTAATATGCTCAATTGACACTCTTTGTTTCTGAACTTCTTCTTTAATGGCAAATTATTTTAACTCCATATGTTTAGCACCCTTTGAATACTTGTCGTTTTTAGAAAAGAAGACTGCTGCAGTATTATCACAATAAATTTTCAGTGGCTTGACAATACTGTCAACAACTCCAAGTCCTGAAATAAAATTTCGCAGTCATAAACCATGAACAGTGGCCTCAAAGCATGCCACGAACTCAGCCTCCATAGTCGATGCAGCAATGACAGACTGCTTCACACTTTTTCACGAGATCGATCCTCCAGCTAGAAGAAACAGATATCCAAATGTGGATTTTCTTGTATCCAACCATCCAGAAAAATTTGAATCTGAATAACCAATCACCTCAAGGTGATCAGATCTCCTATAAGTGAGCATATGATTCTTTGTTCATTGCAAGTATCTCAATACTTTCTTTGTAGCTTTCTAATGATCCAATCCTGGATTACTTTGATATCTACCCATCATTCTAACAGCAAAACTAATATCTGGCCTTGTACAGACCTGAGCATACATCAAGCTCCCAACGATAGATGCATAAGGAATTTATTTCATTTGTTTGTATTCCAATTCATTCTTTGGACATTGCATAAGACTAAATTTATCCCTTTCTGAATTGGAACAACAGATGCAAAACATTTATCCATCTTGAACCTCTCTAGAACTTTATTAATATATGATTTCTGAGATAACCCTAACAATCCTTGTGATCTGTCACGAAATATTTCAATTCTAATCACATAGGATGCATCACCCATATCTTTCATTTCGAAGTTCTTAGAGAGAAATTTATTGGTCTCGTGTAACAAGCCAAGATCATTAGCAGCAAGCACGATATCATCAACATACAGAATAAGAAATATAAATTTGCTCCCACTGATCTTTAGATATATACATCGATCAACGATATTTTCTTTAAATCCAAAAGATGTGATAGTATCCCCACTGATCTTTAGATATATACATCGATCAACGATATTTTCTTTAAATCCAAAAGATGTGATAGTATCATTAAACTTAAGATACCATTATACATCGATCAACGATATTTTCTTTAAATCCAAAAGATGTGATAGTATCATTAAACTTAAGATACCATTACCGGGAAGGTTGTTTGAGTCTGTATATTGATCTCTTAAGTTTACACACCATGTGTTCCTTTCCTTCAACTGAAAAACCCTCAGGTTGGTCCATGTAAACTTTTTCATCTAAATTTCCATTTAGAAAAGTAGTTTTTACATCCATTTGATGTAGCTCTAAGTCATAATGAGCCACCATAGCCATAATATTTCTAAATGAATCCTTTTTCGAAACAGGAGCGAAATTTTCTTTATAGTCAACACCCTCCTTCTGAGTAAAACCTTTGTCAACGAGTCTAGCCTTGTATCGTTCAATACTATCATTTGAGTCGTGTTTGGTCTTAAAGATCTATTTACATCCAACTCTTTTACAACCTTTAGGCAATACTACAATATCCCAAACTTTATTATGCTCCATTGATTTCAACTCATCTTTCATGGTATCAAATCATTTATCAGAATTATGACTTTTCATGGCCTGTGAAAATGAAACCGGATCTTCATCAATTCCAAGGTCATGTTCTGACTCTTGTAGATAAACTACATAATCATCAAAAATAGCAGATTTTTTGTCTTTGCGATCTTCTTAATGCTACTTCTTCATGGGATATATCTATTGTAGGTTCATTGGTAACAATGTCTTCATACATGTCCGGTCGACCGAAAAAGTGCACGTTTACAGGGTGAGAGTTTGAGCTTCTGGCCAGTCGACCGGATGCTCATGCCCGGTCGACCGCGATGCAGTTTGGGCCTAGATTCGTTTTCCTGACCTGTTTTGGATTCCTATTTGATATAAATAGGAACATTACATTTTCTAGTGTTTTGAGAGAGATTAGGAGCTGAGATTTGACATTGTTTGAGCACTTAGAAAGGGAGAATTTGTGAGGGATTTGAGAGTTTTGTTTGAGGGTTATTTTGTGAGATTATTGAATGATTGTAAACCGTATTTGTACTATCTCTCTCAATTAGTAAAATCTTCCCTCTCCTTGCTCCGTGGACGTAGGCACATTGCCGAACCACGTAAAATTTGGTGTCTTGCTGTGTGGTGCTTGTGTTTGGTTGTTGATTTTGTTCTCCTATCTTGTTCGTGCCCTTTGATTCCGCTGCGCGCAACAAGCTAATCAAGCTCATTTAGGACCAATTGCAAAATATAAAGCACTCCTCTACAAAACTCAAGTAAACACAAGTTAGAGCAGCTATACTCTTTCCTCTTTTACCTTCTTGCAAGTGGTGTTGTGTATAAGTAACTCACAAACGATGTAAAATATTGGTTGACGTCAGAGGTAGGTTTTAACTAGGAATCAAGGAAAACCCTGTGCATCCAGCACGCTCATCTCAATCCACTATAAACCATTTCTAGCGGCGTTATATTTACAAGCTTTAACTTCTGCTTGCGGGTCAATTAGGCATTTCCTAATAGAGGAGAATTTGATTTGTTCCTGTTTATTGTGCTGAATATGTTTGATCTATAGATAGAGCAACTTCTGTTGGTTCTACAAGATTTGAAAGTGGTCGAGACCAAATGAACTCTGCTTGCAGGTTGGTGTGGTATTTTCTTTTTCAAGGAAAATTTTGTTTTCCTGTACATGATTCAGTTGTAGGCTATGTATTAAGAAGAGCAATTTCAGAAATCCTAAATTTGCAACTCTTGTAGAAAAACCATTTTTTTGCGCCCCTAAAGAGCAAGTCTCTTACACATAATATTGTAAATGTTTGGGTTGTCAATGAAGGAAAGACACATCTACTAATTTATATGATGGAACAACGTATTTAGCCATTATCAAACTTTTTCAAGAGTTTGAATGCTCAAGCTTTCTAACTGATAATCCAACTTAACTACCTATAAAATCTGCAGCCTACCGGGATTGCACGTTAATACTGCTCTAAAAGTTTCAGAAACTAAAGAATTCATTATTCTCATGGCAGCAACAGCTAAGCAATCTACAGCAGCAGTTCATACAAGCTATGACCGAATGAAAGAGCTCAAGGAGTTCGACGAAACTAAAGCTGGCGTAAAAGGGCTCGTTGATTCTGGCACCAAGCAAATCCCAAGAATATTTATCCACTCTCCAGAAAACCTCCCAAAGCCTTCAGATGGGATCACTACAAACCTCCAAATCCCTGTCATAGACCTCCAAGGCATTAGTAACTCTAAACGTCGACAAGAAATTGTTAAAGAAGTTCGTGAAGCGTCAAAATCATGGGGATTCTTTCAGCTTCTGAACCACGGAGTACGAGTTGAACTTCTTGATAGTATGACCGAAAGTGTTAAGAGGTTCCATGAGCAGGATAAAGAGGAGAAAGCAAAGTTTCATTCACGTGATCCAAATAAGAAGGTGAAGTATTATGGAAATTTTGATCTTTATAGTGCATCTCCTGCGAATTGGAGAGATACGTTATCTTGCTTCTTCGATGGTTCTTTGGATCCTGCAGAATTGCCATCAATCTGCAGGTAAAAGTTCAAATTTGGATTTATTTAAATATTTGAAGCATGATGAACTGCTCTGTAGCAGAAAATATGACTAGGTACAAATTATATCGAGAGCAATTTTTTTATGCTTTTTGCAAGTATTTGAACACTATCATGTTCCTTTACTCGGTGCGCAAATGTAGATTGGATGGCAAGTTGTGCTGTAAAACTCTTAACCGTGTCGTTTATAAATTGGATATAGTTAGCAGATCCTCTCAATTATCAAGGACGGCATTCTAATGGAACACAAATTCACAACTTTTAAACAATATATTCTATTTTCAAAAAAATTTAAATTTTCATAATTATTAGATAACACTCGATTAATAGTCAGATGTTTGTCTAACAGAGACAATAAGTTAGGAGCTTAATGAGGGGAGAAAAGAGAATGAAAAAAATTGAGGCAACTTAGTATTACATAAATATAAATAGGAACTAGGATTCGAATATAAAGACTAGGAAGTCCAGGAAGAAAAAAAAAAGAAAATTGTAATACAATTGATCAATTAAAAGACTAGGATAATAGAAACTTTTCTCATTAAGATGATGAAAATCTCCGAAAGCAGCCTTTTCAAATTCACAAACTAGTCGTTTTATGTAAGTTTTAAAGTATTTTTTTCCCCCGATTTTCATTTTCTCAAACTGTAAGCTCTTGCAAATGATCTCTGTCTCTTATTCTCTTCAGAGATGTGTTTTTAGAGTACAGGCAGAAAGTCACTGATACTGCTGACACAGTATGTGAGATCTTATCTGAGGCTCTTGGGCTCAACCCAGACTACTTCAAAAGTGTCAAGTGCACAAAAGCACAACTCCTAGTTGCACATTACTACCCTTCATGTCCTCAGCCAGAACTAACCATAGGCATTGCCAAGCATTCTGACCCGTCGTTCTTAACTCTACTTCTTCAAGATAACATTGGTGGCCTTCAGGTCCTTCACGAAGATAGATGGGTTGCTGTATCGCCTATCCATGGAGCTCTAGTTGTCAACATTGGCGATCTTCTTCAGGTTTACTTCTCTTAAATGCATTACAGTACTATTTCAAGAAGGGCTATTTGCAGATGCATCATTTGTACTACAGAAAAGGTAAATTTCATAAAACCCCTGAACTTTCGGGGTTTGTCCCCAAACAAAAAACTGAACTTTACAGATTAGAGAAAACCCCTTCTGAACTTTCACAATTCTACTAAACCTCCTAAACTATAGGAAAATATGATAGCAACAAAATTTCATGAAAATCTGAATAAAGAGCATTCATGAGGCTGAATAATATGCATTGGCCTTGTCATACTTTTAGACACTTTCACTCTACAAGTTAATGTTATTTATGAGATTTTCCAATAGTATAGGGGAGTTTAGCATAATTTTAAAAAAAAATTGGGAGAGAATGATAACCTTGAAAGTTCAAGGGGGGTTTTCCCTTCTTTGTAAAGTTCAGGTGTTTTTTGTGCAAAACCCCTCAACATTCAGGGGGTTTTGTGAAATTTACCCACAGATGCATTCCACTCACCTGCAAATAAACTATTCATGAACTGTGATGTATACATGCTGATGCTATTAGATTCTATCTTCATTTTCATGTAGCTTATCAGCAATGGTAAGTTCAAGAGTGCTGAGCACAGAGTGTTGGCTAACCGTGGAGGGCCGAGGATTTCAATAGCGGTGTTCTTTAATCCTGGCATAGATGAAAAAAGGCCTATGGGTCCGATCAAAGAGACACTATCCGATGAAAATCCTGCGAAATATCAGGAAATTCTTTTCAGTGAATATTTCAAGTATTACACTACGAAGGGGCTTGATGGAGAATCTGCACTTAAACACTTCCAACTCTGAAAGGCTAAAGAATGACCCTAATGAGATTCAGCATACTGCTAAGTTGTGTATTGAAGTTATGCTCTTCCTCTAATAAGGCATCAGTGTTTGTAAGGTAACCTTCCTTTGTACAAGGTATTATGAGCAGGTTATATGGAAATAAATCATTTGTCAGAGATCTAAGACAGTTAAAGTTGCAATAGTTATTGGGCGTTTGGTGCGATTTTAGAAGTTGTTGGGGTTTCACTGCAAAATGCTAAAATTTCTTGGGGGCTTATGCGATTTGCCCTAAAAATAACTAGGATGTGGGGCATAAAGCTGATTTGGATGCAACATTCTTATGTGACAGTCATATCCCAAGAAAAAATTTCCACCATTTTTTCCTAGGAGAAAAAAGTTACTTTGGTAATGTGATAATTTTTCACACGCCACGCCACGCCCACGAGTTCGTGGGCGCTGTGAACATGGGTGGGTGGGGGAACCCACGTGCTCCCATCCCTCTTTCCCACGCCCACGACGAGGACGTCCTATCCACGTGTTCGTGAGCCGCCTGCCAGCCCACAGCGAGCGTGATTTTCTCCGCGAGCGCGGGATTTTTTCTGGAGCCTTGCCCGGTGCTTCCTTGCCTATAAATAGAGAGGAAGTGAGAAGAGAGAATGTGTGGGAAAGAATCTTGTGTGGAGGAAAAGAGAAGAGAGAGGAAGAGAGAGCTTGTATAAGTTTGGTATTTTCTTCATAGTGAAACCCCCCTTCCCATAGACGTAGGCAAGTTTGTCGAATCATGTAAATCTCGTGTCTGTATTGTCTTAATTGTGTGTTTGCTGGTGCTTGTAGGTTCTCTCGACATTTCAGTCCTAGAACTGATGAGAGGAAGAGTGTATATTTTAGTTTGTTGAAATATTTCACTTTCTATTCTAGTTTCCTTTGAGAAACAAGAATATAGAGATTGACTTGAGCTTTTATGAAAACAAAAGTCAGGGCTCTTTCTCAGGTGGTATCACTTCCGCGGTGTGAGGACGTGACTTTGTACCCAACAATTGGTATCAGAGCCCTTGATCGGATTGGTGGTAGTAGAACTTCTGATTTGATGTGGTGCTTGGTTATTGTGTAGTAAAACACAAGGTATTTGTTAAAATTCCTGAGAGAAGCAGTTGTATTAATACAAGAGAAAAATAGGGTCTACAAGTAAAACAGTTAAAGTTGAAAAGTACGATATTAAAAAATTTAATGGGAAGAATGATTTTTCTTATTGGAGGATGCAAATAAAAAATTCGTTGATTTCATAAAAGTTGCACAAAGCTTTGACAGGAAAAAAGAAGCACAAAGATATGTCTAATGAGGATTGGGAAGAGTTAGATCTCAAAGCACGAGTATCGATTATCCTATGCCTTGAGAGAGAGATTGCTTTCTTGGTAGAGGGAGAGGAAACGGCTGCGGGCGTGTGGTTGAAGTTGGAAGGCACCTTCATGACGAAGAGTCTAACGAACCGGATCTATTTGAAATCCAAATTGTATACTTGGAAGATGGAGGAAGGTTCATCAATCCAGGAAAACATCAACAAGTTTGATAGGATCATATCAGACTTGAAGGACATAGATGTGACAGTTGAAGACGAGGATCAGGCGCTTCTACTACTTCTATCTCTGCCGAAGTCTTATGAGAACCTGGTGCAAACACTAATGCTTGTGGGAGACAATTTGACAATGGATGAGACTAGAACGGCGCTTCTAGCAAATGACCTTCGGAAGATTGCAACCAGTGATATTACTACTGGTGGTAGCAAAGAACAAGCGCAGAGATTGTTTGCTAAAGGAATGAGCAATGAGCGAGGAAAATGCAAGGGAGGAAAGTCTAGATCTAAATCAAGACCTCTTACTAGAAGAGCGTGTTTCAAATATGGTGAGGTAGGGTATTTCAAGGTTGATTGTCCTAACAAGAGAGTAGGTGGGAAGAAGAATAACAACAACACTGAAAGACGAGAAGGCAAGGAAGAGGCGAGCTACGCTTCAGGGAAAGGGAGCGATAAAGAATGCTATGTCGTCACGAGTAGCGAGGATACCTCCGGGAAGTGGATACTTGATTCTGGTTGCTCTTACCACATATGTCCAAATATAAAATGGTTTACTACCTACAGGAGCATTAATGGTGGAACCGTATTGATGGGGAATAATCATGCTTGTAAAACGGTGGGGCTAGATGATATCAAGATCAAGATGCATGATGGAGTGGTTCGAACCTTGACGGATGTAAGGCACGTTCCCGACTTGCGTAAGAATTTTATCTCAGTTGGTGCTTTGGACTCCGAGGGTTGCAAGATTGTAACAGAGAACGGAGTGAAGAGGGTTGTCCGGGGTTCCTTAGTAGCGATGAAGGGCATTCGTTATGGTAACCTATATACTCTCTCAGGTACGACGGTGATGGGAGATGCAGCGGTTAGAACTGAAGTAAGTGGTGGAGACCCATGTGAGCACACAAGGTTATGGCATAGGCAGCTTAGGCACATGTCAGAGAAGGATCTAGATTTGCTTGGTAAGGAGGGTTTGCTGAAGAATCTGAAAAAGACTTGCATGGATTTTTGTGAGAATTGTGTGTATGGGATGGTGCACAGGGTTTAATTTCTGAGAAGCAATCACAAGAACAGAGGGATATTAGATTATGTGCACATGGATGTTTGGGGTCTGGCTTCGACAACTTCTAAAGGTGGTTCCAGATATTTTGTCTCATTCATAGATGATCATTCGAGATATGCTTGGATTTATTTTCTAAAGCATAAGAATGAGGTATTTGAGATATTCAAGAAGTGGAAGGTGATGGTTGAGAACAGGACAGGAAAAAAATTAAAGACATTGAGATCTGACAACGGTACAGAGCATAGAGATGATGCCTTCAAGGAGTTATGTGATCAGAAGGGGATTGCCAGACACTGGATAGTTAGATCTACACCCTAGCAAAATAGGATCGCGGAGAGACTAAACTAAACACTGTGGGAGAAAGCAGTGAGTATGCGATCATATGCTGGTTTGGACAAGGAATGGTGGGCAGAAGCGGTTGCTACAGCTTGTTACATAGTGAACCAATCTCCACATTCGATATTGGATGGTGATACACCCTATCGGGTGTGGTCAGGGGAGCATGCAGATTATGAGAGGCTCCGAATCTTCGGGTGTACCGTCTACTATCACATCAATGAGGGAAAGCTTGATGCAAGGGCCAAGAAGGTAATTTTCTTAGGGAATGCAAAGGGTGTAAAAGGCTATCGCCTGTGGTGTACAGAAGATTCAAAGTTCGTGATCAGCAAGGACGTTACATTTGATGAGAAGTCCATGATTGCTAAGGTGCCCAAGAATAATGATGTTGAGACTGTTGGGAATTCTAAATCTTAGGTTATTGATATAGAACCTAAAGACCAACCAGGTTCTAGTCATGTTCAAGTAGGAAATCAGGTAGATGATGAGCTTGAGCAGGAGGAGATTCAGTAGGAGAATACACAGGCACTACAACAACAACAGCTCGAGGATAGCTTGGCTTCCACTAGGCCAAGACGAGCATACAAGCAGGTACAAAAGTTGGGGGCTGATCAACCCCTGAAGCACTATAGGCAGATTAATTTGGTTGAGTACGCTCTCTCGGTAGAGAAAGATGAGCCGGTCTCCTTCAAGTAAGATATTCAGGATAGAGATAGCGAGAGTTGGTTGGCTGCGATGGAGGAGGAGATGAAATCTCTCCGAAAGAACCAAACATGAGAGGTGGTCCCATTACCCGTAGGAAAAAAAGCTATAGGTTGTAAGTGGCTGTATAAAAGAAAGGAAGATCCTTCAGATCTTGGTGGTACGAGGTACAATGCAAGACTAGTGGCTAAGGGGTTTGTACAAAGAGAGGGTGTGGATTATAATGAGATCTTTTCTCCGGTGGTGAAACACACTTCTATTCGGGTGTTATTGAGTATTGTTGTTCATGGTGATCTTGAGCTAGAACAACTCGATGTAAAGACGGCCTTCTTACATGGAGACTTGGATGAAGAGATCTATATACATCAACCTGAGGGCTACAAGGTTAAGGATATGGAGCATCATGTATGTCGCTTGAGAAAGTCTCTCTATGGACTGAACCAATCTCCTCGGCAGTGGTACAAGCAATTTGACTCCTTCATGCTGAAGCATGGGTTTTCCCGAAGCGACTATGATTGTTGTGTTTACATTCAGAAGCTTCATGGAGGTGATTATATCTATCTTCTTTTGTATGTAGATGACATGTTTATTGCATCGAAGAACAAGATAGAGATAGATAGACTGAAATCTTAACTTGGTAAAGAGTTCGAGATGATGGACATGGGTGATGTAAGGAAAATACTGGGAATGAAGATTAGAAGAGAGCAGACGAATCAGTGATTGTTCTTGAGTCAGAAGAGCTACATTAAGCGGGTGATCACAAGGTTCGGGATGCAAAGTGCTAAGTCGGTGGTGACTCCATTAGCTCCACATTTTAGGCTCTCTGGTAAACAATCTCCCACTACAGCGAAAGATAAGGTACACATGGAGCATGTCCCTTATGCTAGTGCAGTTGGTAGCTTAATATACGCAATAGTGTGTACAAGCTCAGATATTTCACAAGCGGTCAGTGTTGTCAGTAGGTTCATGGCGAATCTGGGAAAGGCGCATTGGGAAGCAGTAAAATGGGTCCTGAGGTATTTGAAGGGTACCACAGATACGGGTCTGTGTTTTAGTGGAGATACATGTCAGATTGATGGATTTGTTGATTCTGATTATGCGAACAATCTAGATAGACGTTGATCTACTACTGGTTATATATTTAAGATATATGGGGCTCCAGTTAGTTTGTGATCAATGTTACAGGCTATAGTGGCACTTTCTACTATAGAGGCCGAGTACATGGCCATGGCGGAGGGAGTGAAGGAAGCATTATGGTTGTGGGGTCTTCTAGATGATTTGGGGATTGAGCAGGAGAACACGAACTTGTGGTGCGACAGTCAGAGTGCGATTCACTTAGCGAAAAATCAAGTTCATCATGCTCGTATCAAGCATATCGATGTCAGATATCATTTTGTACAGGATGTCATAGAGGAAGGTGATATTTCTCTCATGAAGGTGC